TCTGGTCACCTTATCCTAAGGTCATGTCCAACTGTGTAATCCTAAAGAAATTAGGAGTGAGAATAGACTCAGATGAAAGCAATGGTGACCGTCTAGATCCCACAGTGAATCAGAGTTGCCGGCTGGCTGGCTGCATGCACATACATGTCAGGTCATACCACGCCAGGCATCACACCTAGAACCCAATTTTGTTTTGTTGTTGTTGTTTTTGAAGCATCAATTACCTTCTGGGATTGACCCATCAGGGAGTGGAATAGCACAGTGGGTAAGATCACATGTTCTGGAACCAGACTACCTTTCGCCCGTAACCTGTCTGTATGGGGCGAAAACCTACCTGTACTTTCCTAATCTGCAAAATAGAGTGATAATGGCCCTGACCGCAGAGAGCTGCTGGGAGAATTAAGTGAAATGAGGCATGGCAAGTACTCAGAAGACACACAAATAAACACAGACGAGGGACTATAAAGATACATGAGGCAGTCATTGCATAAACCAAATTCAGATCCTCTGTTAAAATACACTTTTTTTAAAAGTACATTTGGAGCCAATTTTATTTTTTTTTAATTTTAAATGTTTTCTCAGCCATTTACCCAAATTTATTTATATTTTTTACGACTATCATCTCAAAACCACATATCCACACACCTCTTTCTTTTTGTATTGTTTTTGCTTAAGCCTAACTGCATGGTTTGTTAATCAAAGACCCTAAACAAATACTGTGTCTCTCCCATGTAACACACAGAAATGGCTTTTAAGAGAAATTCATCAATTCCCCCTACTTTTTAAATTTATAAACAGATAACAACAACTCTGAACATATTTTGAAACTAATGGGCAGTCAGCACTCACAGTGCTTCAAAATGTAACACCCCTGCACCAGTATTCATCGTACCTACCACTCCAGACAATTTTAACGGCAGCCCTTTCGTTACACAAGATGGATAAAGCACGCCCTTGGTGCTTTCCTGCTGGAGACGGGTTTTCACAAGCACACATCCTTCCACAGCAACCCGACGCTTCTCCAGCAGGCTTTCAGCTTGGGCACCTGGACTGTTTTCAGTACCCCAGGTTCACGCTTAAGTGACCGTGCTGTGATAAGGGAGAAGTAGCCTGAAAAAATGCTGGGTGTACATACATTAAGTCTATCCTTACCAATGCCCAGGTCTTGCTAACCAGCTGCAGTCCTCTGACTTCGTGTGTGGGTAGCTTGCGTGGTGGTACTTTAGACATTAACATGCGTAGACGGTTGTTGACGGAGGAGAGTTTGAGATCTACTAAAATTAGTTGTTGGATGTTTGTCCTTCTGGTGGCTGTGGAAGCTTCATAGTTTCTTTGGGCGTCATTGGCCGTCTTAGCTCCTGAAGTCCAGCTTGAATGCGATGGGAATTTGGCCCTTGTCCTAATACTGGTATGCTGCAGGCGCCCACTGGTGCCCTGGGATTCTTGATTCCATTCATACTCATTTTTGTTACAAATCTAACTAGTGGAGGTGCTTCTGGATAGTTAGGTCCACATTCTACTTGCAGGCTCTGTAGTCTGCTTCCATCATTGGTCCCTGGTGGCCCATGAATCATGTTGTCTACCTGGCAAGTGTCATATCGTCAGCATCCTCAAGGCCCCCGCTCACTACTCCTTTTTGTCCTTCTTCAAGTTCTGCCAACAAGCAAAAATTACAAGGAACTTTATCTCCTGTGGAGACCTGCCATCTTCTCCTGCGGCCCCTGGGAGCCGATTTTAAATGTGAACAGTGACTGAGTGTTACGTAATTCTGGCTAAATTTTAAAAGATATGATTATGGCATTCTGACTGTGTTTGGGGTGATTTAGGTTGTTGGTGGTATTATTGTTGTTTCTAAGAGTGAAGTAAGTCAGTCACACAAGGACAACTAGTGTATGATCGCATTTATATGAAATGAACAAATATCGAGAAACCCATGATGATATACTTATCATTACCAGAGGAGCAAGAGAGAGGGAAAGAGTGAGGTTTTGCTTCCGGGGCATAGTGTTTATGTTATTCATGGTGGAGTAGTTGAAAAACAATGGTTAAAAAAAATATTTTTTAAAAAATAAAGAGAAAAAAGATGTATATTGAAAGGCTTAAAGATTTTCTATATATGATGTATAATATTAATTATATATGTAATTATAATTGTATATATACACTTAAGTACTTAAGTGCCCTGAGGAAGACTCATGCGAGCAGCTCTCTGTGGATGAGCCTCTACTTATCTCTCCAGCCTTATGTCTGCCAACGCTTCCACGGCCCAGCCGCTCCCCACTCTGTCATTCGCTCCTGTGCCCTGCTCTTCCTCACAGCAGCCTGCGCCAGGCATCCCTGCTCCAGCCGTCCCCGCTGACTCCCTCCCCCATCAGCACACAGTTCTGCTGCCCCCTCCTCGGGGAAGTCCGCCCTGACAGCCTCTTGACTACCTCAGTGGCCAGTTGTGCCGTTTCTCTTGAGTCCCTGGACTCATACCCGGGCTAGTGGGGAAAGCAGAAAGAGGGGTTGCCATTCCAGAAAGGTGCTGGGGAGCTCTGAACGAACGCAGTCCAGAGCAAAGAACCCAGGCCAGACTGAAGAGGCTGAAATGGAATGGAAAGAAGCTGCTGCCTGATCCGATTTGGGAGGATGAGGGTGGGGAGGAAGATTAAGCCGGTGCAGGAATTTCTAAATGCATAGACTTGGGCAAGATGAGGGGTATGAAAGACTGCACTTGCTTTATGAAGCAGGACAGGAGGCGATGCATTTTTGTGGATACATGAAGTGTGGGGTTTTTTTAATGGCATGATTGTAAAAGACATCATAAGTACTTAGTCACAAAATGCAACATGATTTAGTCAAAAAGCATGGAACTCAAGGCCAACAGTCCTACCCCCTGCTCTGTCTCCCAGCTCTGTGACCTTAAACAAATCACTTGACTTCTCTAAGCCAGACTTCTGTCCATAAAAAGGAGTGTTTGATAATAATACTTGATCCATGTTCCACTTAAGGTCGGTATACTATAGGTACCTATGAATGCGGCCAGCAGAAACGGTAAGGGAGTGGATGGTTAACGTTTCCTGGAATGTCTCCACAGATTAGAAGCCAGCTCTATCAGGAGGAAGAGTATCATAGCTCTGAACAGGAAAGAATGAGGAATGAAATATCTGACCTCACAGCCGAGCTCCATCAGAAGGAGATCACTATAGCAACAATCATGAAGAAAGCTGCCCTTCTGGAAAAACAGTTAAAAGTGGAGCTAGAAATTAAAGAAAAAATGCTAGCAAAACAACAGGTATGCAAATAGGCAGGACAGCACCTGTCAGGGCACACCCTGTTGCTCAGTGCCAAGAAGCCCACTGCTGTCCAGTCAGTTCTGACTCATAGCCACCCTATGGGACAGCGTCGAGCTGCCCCTTGGGAAACAGGAGCAAAATGTTCCACCTTTCTGCCTCCAAGCAGCTGGTGGTCCATGAACCTGGCAGTGTGTAATCCACTCTGCCACCAGGGCTCAAGCCCTTTCGGGGCCCTCCTTGTTAACTAATGAAGGTGTTGCTTTCCTCGGCATCCTTTCTAAGCATAGTATCATAGAAATGCTTGGTGGCATCGCATATCATCTTTGCGACACACTCACAAATAAGAGAGACGGCCAGAGCTAAGGTACTGAGGTCTCATTCAGGATTCTGAAAACATCAGCTACGTCCTGTGATCTAGTCAGAGATGTCTTCCTGTCCACCTTTTCTTAGACACTTCCTGTCACCCCAGCGCACATCCTTGCTTCACGGTTTTTAAGAATGAATGTTGAAACATGAAAGTCCGTTCATAGCTACTCAACATCCATTCGGGCCGCAGCACGCTCCACTGGGGGGATGATCGCACATTCTGCTGCTCAGTACTGCACGGAACTTCCCAAGCCATCATCCAGCACCTTTTCTCCCTTCTTCTCTCGTCCCTGCCTTCACCCCCTCTCCCGTCCTTTCTTCCTTCTCTTCGTCCTTCTCCCCTTGCTTCTTGTTGTCCCTCTCTTCTTAAGCTCCTTCAATTCCCTTCTCATCATCAAATTGTAAGCTGCTGGCGAAAACATGGCGTTCATTCTGTTCGTGCCCTCGAACCTGGGGGGTCTCAGCGCTCCATTCTATGTCTAAGCACAGGAGGCTACTTTACAGGCAGTATCGCTATTTAAATCATACTCATCTTAAGAACAGAAAAGATTCAGCCTCGGTCCAATGAAAAACTCTCCGTTGTTGTTCAGTCACACACCACAAAGGCCAACGGCACCGGTAGCATCTTGGTTATCTAGAGCTGCCGCGGCAGAAACGCAAGTGTGGGGCTTCACAAACACATTCATTCTCTCGCGTTAGGAAGCTAGAAGTTCGAGTCCGAGTACTGGCTCTACGGGAAGGCAGTTTTCTTCCTGTTGGCTTTGGAGGAAGGGCCTTGCCTCCTCTCAGCTGCCTTTCCTTGGCTCTTGAGTGAACTTCCTGGGGCCTGTTGTCTCTCTCCCCAGCTTTACTTGTCGGCTGCTTGCTTGATCTGCTTGCTTTAGCTCCAAAAGAGATCGATTTCAGACATACCCCCCTCACAGTATCATCTAAGATTTCTTCCCCAATAGCTTCTCTTTGATTGACATTTTGCTCTTTAAAAGTTCTATATTCCAGTTTTTATTAGACACTGCCTCATTAACATAACAAAGAAAGCATTCCCAAATGGTATTAGGGTTGGGATCTGTAATGTGTATTTTGGGACAACACATACTTTGGGGGAACACAGGTCAAGCCACCACAGACAGCGGGTGATCGTGTAGGCTGTACCTGCATAAGGAAGAGTATTTTATATCTGGTATCAGCAGCATTCTGGGCAGTTGGGTTATGATTGATTGTTGTTTGCACCTTTTCCCGCTGTTGTACTTTCTAGGGTTTTGTTAGTGAGTATATATTTTATCAGTTAGGAAAGTAGACTTTTTTAAAGGTAATGTTTTGATATAGAAATTAGTCTAGATAACTAAAGGAACAGATGCTATGTCTAAGTACCATCAGGTAGAAGAAATTCAGGAAAGAAAAAATAAATTAGGAAACAAAATGAAGTAGTCACTTTTTTAAAAAGCAGAAACTGGGCCAAATATACTAGCATGAACATGATATATTGTGTATTATGAAAGTTAGGTGATGAAGAAATTTAACTGACAGGGTTAGTCAATCGTGCTTTTTTAATTGTGATTGTCTGGTGATAATTTGCATGTAAGAAAAACATAAATGCAACCAGAATTTGGGAATTGGAAGGCAGAACAAAATGGGGGGTTGTTGTCAGTTCCTGTTTCTAAAATAGCATTGATACACAAAAGGAGAACAAAGTGGGACCTCACCAAGGTTTAAAGATAGGACCACTCACACACTTGTGCACAGCCATCCATGCGATTCTGATACCAAGCAACCCTGTAGGACAGGGTAGACCTGCCCCTGTGGGCTTCCCAGACTGTCACTCTTTATGGGAGTAGAGAATCTCGTCTTTCTCCTGGGGGGAGCAACTGGTGGTTTTGAACTGCTGACCTTGTGGTTAGCAACCCACTATGTTACCCCCGACCCCACCAGGGCTCCTTTAAGATAGGGGAGAAGAGCTGCATAAGACTTCCTGATTCATAATGATCATCCTAAGAAGAAAAGTGTTTCTCTTCACCAGCACTTCCAAAATTATTTGTGCTAACAAAAATAAGAACAATTTGAATAGAATTATGTTTTCGAATGAATTCTGTACTCACCTCTTACCTACTGATCTTTCAGGTGTCGGATATGAACTATAAAACTGTCAGAACAGAAAACGCGCATCTGAAAGGAATGATGGGAGATTTAGACCCTGGACGATACGTGGTAATATGCTAAAATCATCTAATAAATTGAACTAAAAGCTACGTAGCTGGCCAAGATTTACCCAGACATCCTTTGCTTCCCACTGGGTGCAGCTGTCGAGGGGGTCACTTATATCCCACTTTACTTGAATTCGTTTTTCTCTTCAGCCTGGAACATGCGCATCTCTGGTGTGTGCCCCATGTTCTTCTTTTTTTTTTTTTAAATTGGGCTCAATTCTCGTGATTTCCCCAAACAGGTGAAACATGCTGTTTCTTAGTTTTTGCTCTTGTGTTTCATCTGAAATCTAATATTCTATATATATGGCCCTACTCAAGTGTCACTCTTTCGGTCCATAAAACCTTCCCTGAAATCCCACTCAAAAACAATTCTCCCTGCTCTGCTTGATTTGTACTTCAGGCTGACCTGTTTTATAGTCGTGTTCCCCTGGATGGCAAGCACCTTAGGGAGCGGGCCTGTGTTCTGTCACCGCCACCTCACAGCACAGGGGTGGAGGAGGTGTTCCGTGCGTGTGGACTGAATGAAAGAGAAGTGCATCCGTTAATGATGGAGGATTAGTTGCCCTCCTTTAAACTAGTGCTTCTGCAGGCTTACACAAGAGAACGCACACAGGCTCCATGCCTTTCACTCCGCTGTTGACATGATGCCAGAGATGATTTTCATATAAATAATGTGAGATGTTTGAAAATGTGTTTCACTAATGGTGTCTCATTGTTGGTCGTTTTGCATTTATTTCTGAGATAAAATAACTTTTTACCATTTGTGGAACATAGCAGAGAAGACATGAGACTATTAATTATTTAGCCTGGCTCTGAAATGAAGGGGTTCGGGTGGGCACTCTCCACAATCCCTTCTTAAGCCAGGATACGATATAGAGAACAAGAGTCTCAGTCAAGACCACCCGACCCACGGCCGCTCCTGGGTGTCAGGAGGAGTGGAATGCGCTCCCAGGGCTTCGGTGGCTGGTTTAGGTGAAGCAGATCATCGATGTGGTAAGATAAATAGGTAGACATATATACGTATGCAGAACATACTATTTTAATCAATTGAATTATAATTTACATCCTAGAAATAAAATGGTAATGCAGTCTTTTAAATATCATTGCTTGCTTTCCCTCTTCCCCTTTCCTCCATCCCTCTATCCACAGCACCCATGTTTACTGCCAGGTATAGTGGTGTTTCAACAGACATACACACACACACACCTATCTGGGGGTATTTTTTTAAACTGGAGCATATTATATACATTTTGTTCTTTTTTCACTCAACAGTGTCCCTTGGAAATCCTTCAAAATTAACATTCATTCTTTATAATAGCTTAGTATCCCTCAATGTAGATGTTATCAAATTTTACTCAACTGTTTTTCATAATTAATGTAGCCATAACTTATTCAACTATTTACAGATTTATCCTGGATGAACAATAGCTTTTAAATTACCCACATTCAAGGGGGCCGCAACCTCATTATCTTTCTATTCCATTTTCACACAGACTTCTTAAAGCCCTCTTGTATACACACACCCAAGTCCACTCACTGCTCCGGAGTCAGTCCCGACTCACAGTGGCCCTCTGTACTCCTTCTGATTCGGTCGCTCTGTCTGAGAACAGATGGGCTCACCTTTCCCAGCAGAACAGCTGCTAGGCTCGAACTGCTGAATTTATAGTTAACAATACAACGCGCGCCTAACAGCAGCGTATGCATTAAACAAGCAAGCTCATTGTCACCGAGTCCATATGGACTCAGAGTGACCCTATAGGACAGGGTAGAACTGCCCTTGTTGTTTCTGGGACTGTAAATCTTTACGGGAATGAAAACTCCAACAGAGCAGCTTGTTTCAAACTGCTGACGTTTCAGATCTCAGCCCAACTTGGAACCACTGTGCTAACAGGGCTCCCTTTATGTATACATAGAGTGTTTCCAAAAGTTTGTGTGTGTGTGTGCGCACGGGCGCATTTTGAAAAGCTTTCTAGGAGTCAGATATGCAAAGGATACCTGTGTGTTCATTTTAATAGCTCTTGTCAGATCATGTTTATACCATCTCTGCCAGAAATACGTGTTATTGTTCTTTCTAATATTTGTCAGTCTGGGGAGTATAAAGTGAAATCTCAACAGTACTTCCATTTGTACGCGACTCCTGTCAAGAGCTAGTCTTGGAAACCCACCAGGCAGTTCTCGCTTGTCCTATCGGGTCACGGTGAGTCAGAAACGGGCTCAATAGCAGGGAGTTGGGTGTTGTTTTGTTTGTTTATTTGTTTGTTTTGTTTGTTTGTTTTCTTATAGGCCAGCCTACTTTTGTATATTTATTGTCAATGTGTACTAATGTGAGTTAGTTATAGTCCTTGCTCATTTTTTGTTGGATTGTGTGAGTTTTTTAAGTCTGTGTTGCTGGGTGGGTTTTTTATAATATTATTTTGCCATGCAAACTCTCTAACTCTTATTGTCACACATGGCCCTTTTGTTCATCACTTCTTATTTCCTTGAGTAATAAGGTAGCCTCCACTTCCAGATGGTACATATAATCTCTTAGATCGACTTCAAAGATTTTTTCATTTTTTATCTAAGTGTTTCCTCTCTTCCTTTTTTTTTCTTTTTCGGCTTTTTCATCAGAGTTTTTAATCTCTAAGAATTGTAGCTTAGCATATGCTGTATGACAGAAATCCAATTTAAATTTTTATCTGAACATTATACTCAAATTATATAGCTTCTCCTGATAACTTCCTGTTGGATTGTATTTGGAATTGAACTGAATTTATATAATACTTTAGAAAGAATTGACATTTTGATGATAGGAGATTTTTCCATCCAATAATACGATATTTCATTTCTTTATATGTTGTTTAATGTTCTTCAATAAGATCTTATGATTCTCTTGTATATGATCACTGTCTTCTTACACTTTCCCCTGATATTTTATGAGTCTTGTCACAGTTGTGAATGAAATGTTTCCCTGTTCCTATATCTAGGAACAGATTGCTAATACCAAAAAAAGAGATCCCTTATTAGTTCTTGTCGGCTTTTTACCACAGTTCTTTCAGGCTTTTGTGGGGGAAGCAGGTGGGACGGACGATGTAGTCATAGCTTTGAATCTTCCCCTGTTGTTCGTTGTCATTTATTTTTCATCATTACATTTGCTAACACCTCCAAGAAAATATTCAATAATAAGAGCTTGCTGGCAACTCAGTTTAGTTTCTGCTTTTCATCGAAATGAAGTTAGACTTTTCTCTCAAGGGTAACATTTCTTCTTGATAGTGGTTTTTATTACATTTAACTTGTTTCCTTCTTAGTTTACTTTTTATTACTATCGACTGCTGAGTTTTTTCAAATACCTTTTCAATATCTATGACATCATCGGGCTTTTCTCATTTCATTTGTTGATACCTAATAGACGATGGCTGACAGATTTCCTGATATTGATCTACCTCTGAATTCGCAGAACAAATTTCTTGATCACACTCCAGCATATTACCAGATCCTATGTAATGTTTTATTTAGAATCCTTCTCTTCATACTCCATGGCCTCTTTAACATCCCCCAGCCCCCAAACTACCACCTGTTTCCCTTTAGTGACCTAAAGAGACCTAGACCTTCCTTGGTCTCCTCTGCACACCAGATGCTCAGTCTAGGCGCTGTCTTGCTTCCAAGCTCCCACGCGTGCTGTTCCTTCTACCTTAAAAGGCCATGTCCACATGACTTGGCTCTGCCAGAGCTTCAGGAAGCCTTTCAGTATAAACTTTTGCATATTCTATGAAAACTTCCCTGATTTGTTGTTGTTTTCTGTTCTGATTTTTCTCTGTCCTGATAAGTGTCCCCTGTCCAGTCACCGTACTGTTCTTTACTTGCCACTGTCATGGCCCTGGTGGTATAATGGTTAAGCTGCTATAGGGAAAATATTTGGCTTGAATCCACCAGTGGCTCAACAAGCTAAAAGACCTAGATGTCGGCTCCTACAAAGATGACAGCCTTGGAAACTCGATGGTAATTGATCCCACAGGGTCACTCTGAGTCAAAACATGGAAATTACTTGTGTGGGTGTCAGCTTCCCAACCCCGGGCAGCAGGCTCGTGGAGGGCAATGATGGCCCTGGCTTACCAGGGCGTTTCGATCCTTCGTACAGTACCTGAATCTGAAAGACCGTGCACAAACATTCACCAGATGAGCAAATGAACGAAGACTCCATTATCTCCTCCACCTGAATCATGTCCTTGATTTCACCAAATCCCACCAGATTCTTCAGGTGATGTGGATTAGATTTATCTCCTCCATGAATTCATCTCCAATTACTCTAGGGCTAACTTATCTATCCTTTCTTTTCATTTCTTTAGCACTGGTACCTATTAATAATTTAGCACCGTTTCCTTTTCTTCATTTTAAAAAATATTGTGTTCTAGGTGAACATTTACACAACAAATGAGTTTCCC